ATCATCCAGAGGTTAACAAAACTTTGTGTTAATGAATCTTCTGTTTTCTATCAGCTGTAGCCAGGAATGTTTGCTTTCTGAGCCGTTGGTTCACATGAAATACTAGATATTGGGGCTGAATGTGACAGCATTGGTAAACACACCTCACTTTATTCGATTCTTTATCCTGAAGTTGATGTGATCCTTCCAGAATTTCTTGCATTTCTACTATGCCTGAATACAACTCTTTTACTGAAAGTCACCAGATCTTTTAACAAGACTGGTGTACCTTTTCCTGCTCTCTCTCACTTCATAATTGCCTTACAGGGAAATCTGTGTGAAGTTGTGCAGGTTGCATTTTACTATTCTTTTGCCATGCTAGGTTCTGATGCAGGAGTTACCAGCTTTCATGCTGCTTTGAGTTACCATTTTGATTGATGGATATACTTCTTGTGGTATCTGCTTTGCTGTTTTGGAGGAGGCTTGATTCTCCATTGCTTTTCACTATGACTAGGCTACTGTAATGAAACAGATTCATTTTCGTTGCCACAAGTTGTGCTAGTAGTACATTTAAACATTTACTGTCAGATTATAAACATTTTTCACAGTTGCACTGTGTCTGTCTCTCAGTGTTTTTGGACAGTTAACTACAATCTTAGAAGACAGGATGTACTGTTACCTATCTTGTCATTTTCATACAGAAAATGTGTTCATAACCGTCCTTTTTTCAAACCTTTTTCTACAATATTGTGTAATTCTCATCTATTCTTCTAATGCTTCTGATAGACCTTCTTTCAAGTGTTTTCATAGTCGCTATATAATGTTTTCAACCAATACTAAAGCAGGTTGGTCATATGTTCCTGTACTTGCAAAGCTGCTCTGCCAATCTCTATATAGCTATATGAAGTTTTTACTTTGGCTGACATTTTTTTGTGATTTTTTTTTTTTTTTTAATTTGGCTTTCAGATAGGATGTTCTTTGGAAGTTTCTGTTCTCTTAGTGAACAAGAGAGTTTTGTTTCACAAATGTAAAGATATGCAAGCTACCTTGAGGAAAAATGATTTAGCACTGGCTTCAGCAGCTTTGTTTTTTTAAACACTTTAAGTTTATAGTCTCTTTCTTTGTAATCTTAAGTAAGGGCTCCTGTATTGGCAGAAGGAGCCAAAGGTTTTTGAAACCTACAGGAGAATTTGCAAAGAAGAAATGGTCAATACATTCATGTCACAGTTGGACAGTGTTCCTTGTGGTTACTGCTATCCTGTAAGGTTAAAGGGGTGATTTATTTGTGACTAAATTTAAGGTCACAGTAGAAAAAGAAGAAAGTAACAGTGCTGTATCTTGGCCTCATGTAAAAAAAAAGACCGTACTTCTGAGATTCATAGTAAAATGGTAGTGTGGATCAGAATATTGAAAAACTTTAACTTTTCTGGTTATGTTGCTATCTGAAAGAAATCTTCCATGTAATTTTGCTTGGACTCCTGGAGGTAAACTAGAACTCTCACTTTTTCCTGATTAATTGGTACTGTGAATGAGAAAAGACATTTCTGTCACTTCCTTCACTTTACTGTTTCCAGGATGAAAGATGTTTTTCCTAGTCTGAAGTGTCTTTGTATCTACTTCTGCTTATGGATTCCTAATAGCAACAAAGTGAAATGGCTGGTGACAAATGCTACTGGAAAACCAAACAAAACTAACCAAAAAAAAACAGTCAAGATTTATCCTGTAATTTTTTTTTTTTTTTTTTTCCTCTTGAATCATGACAAGTCTCGGTGTCAGTGAAAATACTGAAACTGGCTGCATGGTTGGAAGAGTGCATTTAGTTAATATTTGGAATATTCACAATTTTAAAGTCTAATTATGATGTAATGAAAGTTTTTGTTTCAAGAGAAATACTGGAGGGTTACGTTTGCTTGTTTTGAAAAAATTTTTTATTAATATAATGCTTTTGTTTGGCTTTTGAGAAGTGAGAGCAGTGTGATGCATGGCGGTGATGTCCGAGTTCTTCTCCCTGAGTTTCATGTGTGTCTGCTCTGGGAATCCTTTATGTAACCCTAATCAACAGCTAATTGTAGCAGTTGGCTTTTATGGCTTGAATGATTTGATTTTTTTTTTTTTTTTTTTTTTTTTTTTTTTTTTTTTTTTTTCCTCCTGGAGTAACAGAGGGGATGGTGCCTGCCTGTGAAACAAAGCTGAGAGCTGAATTAGCATAGGACTGGTGTTCCCACTTAAGGTGGACGAGAGCTAACCTGCCTGCCCTGTACATGAGAAGATGGGGACTGCCCAGCACCTGCTGTGGTACCAGCTCCTTTCAGCCGCCTGGGAAGCTACTTTTCTGTCAAGGGCATCAGTCACTTTCATTCTTTGGAAAGCTGTTAGTGGTTTAACAAAGTGTTTGCTAAAGCAAGGAGAAAGCAATTCCATGAGTTTTCCATTTTAGGGTGATTAACTCATTAGAAATGATCTAAAATCTTTTTGTGTGCTTCTTGTGTGTTGTTAAGCTCTTTACTAGGTGGTATTTCTGCATGCAACAGCACTTGTAGCAACATGTAAACTTAATGTTTTGGGGGGAAGTGTCTTAAGTAAAATACACAGCATAAAATACGTCTAATCTCTTGGTTCAAGTTAAACTCACTTAAAGCTGTTAAGTGAATGAGTGTTTGCACTGATTTACTGTGGTGAGCTTCTAGCAAATGAATTAAGTGCTGTGATTTGGATTAATTTTCAAGAGAATCCTTGTGAATGCAAGCTCTCAGATGAATGTACTTTATGTAGTGTCTAAGAAATCATATCTGACTTGTTTTGAGTGCTCAAGTGGTGTCACAGCAGCATTTTTAGCATTTTGAGATCTCAAACAGTGAGATTTGTCTGAAATAGTTTTTCTGTTTGGAAGAAGTGTTTTTCTTCCAGATCTGGGGCACAGTGTCTTGCTTATTGAAGCAATGCCAGTGGAACACTGTAGACTTTGTTACATAGTTTATATTTCTGTACTGTTTTGCATAACGATATGTAGCTGAAATAGAAGAAATGTCTTATCTGTAACTTGTATTAAAAAAAATAAAAAGTCTGTAGGTTGTGTTTTGGTAACTTAAATTATTAATGCTGCTGGCTATCTTTCTATGGTCTATTTTGTTTTACATATGTTTTAAAATATTCTGTAGCAATGTTGTTGCTAGCTTTGGTTGTCATTTAAAAAAAAAAAGAGGAAGTGAGAGAAAGAGAGAGCAAGCACTTGAACTTCTTGAGGACTGCTCACAAAACAATATCAGCTTCCATTAGCTTTGTAAAATTACTCATGTATCTTCTATGAAATGCTGTGAAAATGAAAAAATGCTGGCTTACTTTGATCTTGTTTTTCATTTAAAACTTAGGGTTAAACTAAACATTTTAAAACTCGGTCTTGTTGTATCTTTTCCTGTACAAACTTGTTTCTGAAAGGAAAATGATATATTTTTTCTTCATTAGGCTATTACTTATTTCTACGCTTTTCCAGTATTTTTTTGCAGTACTATTATTTGGTGTCTTCCACTTTTACTATTTCTACAATTCCTTTTGCGTGTTCCTCTTTTAAGCCTAATCTTTCATTTACTTGCCCAATTATTGTCTCTCAAACATGCCACAGAGTTTGGAAAAATTGATTCCTGATATTTGGCAAACCTAACTTCCGAGCAAGAGGTGAGGCTAGGTGAAATCTGGTGTGAAAGGAAAGATGTTGGGATATAGAAGGTGGTGCTGCTCTTTGGATGCTGGCTGGTATTCTTTCACCTGATGGGGAGAGGCCAGATGCAGGAATGTTTTAATGTTCTAGTTTTGATATCAGTTGGATCCAATAGTTTACCCTGGAAAAAATAGGAAGACAAAGTTAGAACTGTATAGTGCGTAGTTCTACAGCACAGTAGTTCAGTCACAAGGGTGGATTTCATTTCTGTTTCTTGCTCCTCTACTAGATCTCGACTACTAACAGTGGTCTCAGCCCATTGCCCCTGGACTACTAAAGAGCTAGCACTTGTGGAACAGCATAATGTTACAGTGCAAAAATAAGGAATTTTGCTGCATATGCTACCAGAGTTCTTGTTTAAAGAAAAAAGCAGAAGGGAGGAGGAACTGCAGTATGATGTCATACTGTTCTGTGTTTTAAGCGGTCCCTGCTGCTGGAATGATATTATTTAATGGAATTAATCTGTGCTGGTTAATGAGAAGTATATTTTGATTTAAATCTTTGCTTAACCTGAGCAAAGATTTAAATCATGTTTAGGACTGAATCCCAGTTTGAGAGAAAATAAGAAACTGGAACCAGTTTTTGGTGTAGGTGTGGTTCTCTTGTTCCTCTTAACATCATTGGTCCCATTGCTGTGATAGCTGTTATTTCAGAGTTGTACCTATACTTGCTTAAGCTTTATGGTCAGTAATGATTTCACGGTGGTTCTTAGTTTTGGTTCTGACTTCTGAGTGTGAAGGAAGGCTGACAGGAACACTGAAGGGGACCTACTAGTTGAGATCATGATCAGAATCCTTTCAGTCTGTCCTGCCTTCACATCTGCAGGCTTATTTTCACAGCAACAGAATTTAGAAACGGTGTCCTACAGAGGCTAGCAGTGCTCACAGATAAAAAAATACTACTGAATGGGCTTTAAATTTTGATTGTCTCTCTTACTTGGAAAACTAACAGGTAAAGAATTAGGGCCAGTTTTAATAGGAAAAAAAAAATGATGAATTCTGTAGAGTTCACGTCATGATGTACAAATTTATGGCTTGAAAACTGATGGGTTCTTTTTTTCTACTCTCTTTACTGTGATAATACAACAACAGAAAAGCAAGAATAAGAGTTCCTTTTTAAGTTTAAATATTAGAGTTTAAATAAAAGACTGCTTTTTGTGAGTGGGAATTGAAAAGATTCTGGAGAAGTGTAAAGGTAGTAAAATACACTTTATTTGATGTGGGACAAAATATTTGGTGATAAACTAGGTATTTAATATGCTATTTTTACTGATACAGATTTTAATATCTTGTTATTATTGATGCAGATATGGTCCTGAACATCTTGAGCACGTGACTTCAAAGATGGACAACTGGATCTGTTATAAATTGTGATTGGCCTTAAGCTGACTTAGAACCATTGAAGAACTTAACAGGATTTCTGTCATTCCTGATTTATGCCTATCTAATTGCCTCACACCACCAGCTTAATCATGTATGGAAGTGCTCGGTCAGTTGGTAAGGTTGAGCCAAGCAACCAGAGTCCAGGGCGTTCACCAAGGCTGCCACGGTCACCACGCTTGGGCCATCGTCGAACCAACAGCACGGGAGGCAGTTCTGGGAGTAGTACTGGGGGTGGCAGTGGGAAAACCCTTTCTATGGAAAATATTCAGTCCTTAAATGCTGCCTATGCTACGTCCGGCCCTATGTATCTAAGTGACCATGAGAACGTGGGTGCAGACACCCCAAAAAGCACCATGACTTTGGGCCGATCTGGGGGGCGGCTGCCTTACGGTGTTAGGATGACTGCAATGGGTAGCAGCCCTAACATTGCCAGTAGTGGAGTTGCCAGTGATACTATTGCATTTGGAGAGCACCATCTCCCTCCGGTGAGTATGGCATCCACTGTGCCTCACTCGCTGCGCCAGGCCAGGGATAACACAATAATGGATCTGCAGACACAACTCAAAGAAGTATTAAGGGAAAATGATCTGCTTCGCAAGGATGTGGAGGTGAAAGAAAGCAAGCTGAGTTCTTCCATGAACAGTATCAAGACCTTCTGGAGTCCTGAGCTGAAAAAGGAGAGAGCCCTGAGGAAAGATGAAGCTTCAAAAATCACTATTTGGAAGGAACAATACAGAGTTTTACAAGAAGAAAACCAGGTTTGTCATCCAATGTCACTGTTGTGTTAGTGCAGTAGCATGAATAAATGAGTTTATTAAACTTGCGTGTCACATTTAAGCAGCTAAATTATATTGGTGCTTTTTCCAGGTAATTGGTATGAATAAGATGTGTTTTCAACTTGCAAGCCTCTTCTTAAATGTTTCTTGTCAGACTTGTAAGCCATTTCTTTAGTGCTCATTTCTCCTTGTGTGTTTTTTTTTCCTAGGACTGATGCTAAAACACTCGATTTCCTTTTGGAAGTATTTTACACTGTTCATAATTATATTGCTGTAGTGCTTACCTCTTGAAGCATTCACTGAGATGCAGAATGTCCTAACTGCTGACCCCAAATACAACTGAACATTGACAGATTGCTAGTGAAACAAAGTTTGTTACACTGGACTTATTGTAGAGCTCCAGTTATTATAAATCCCCAGACCTGCAGTTTTCATAAACAGATATAAATTGTGTTTTTATACATTTAAGTAACACTGTTTAATACCTGCTCATCTATCTTTTTTTTTTTTTGTCATAAGCCGTGCATATCTTGTTATGCAACTATCATAAAGCACTCTACAGGTTTTTTTTTGTAGTGGTCTGGCTAGTTAGAGAATAGGCAGATGAACAGAGAATCTTGGGTGTCTAGTTCTTTTGTCTTGTCCCTCTGAAAAGCGTCCCTAAATTAGAATAAAACTGAGAGCTTGATTGAAATTGAGGTCTCTATAGTCAGCTCTACTTGTTAAAAGCTTTTTAAAAATTTCCCATCTAGACCTTCTTGCTATCTTAACCTGGAAGTAAATACTTATCTTTGAGTTGCTGTCCTCCTGTTTAGTTGTTTCTGGCCAAATGTGAGTTAGGCATCTCTGATAAGAAACCTCATCAGTCTTATGGGAAACAGGCCCAGCATCCAACTCCAAAAGTTTCCTGACGTGTAAGTCAGCTTTCACCATGACAAAATTACTTTCCCTATACTCATTTTTTAAATATCCAGGAAAGTTGAATAAAGTAATTTCCATAACTCAAGTGTGATCGTGTTCTTGAAGCTCTTAATGTTTACTTGCTATTTTAGGCAGAACTTTTTTTTTTAAGATTTGCTTTAGAAGGTGAAGGGGAGAGGGGAACTGCTGGAAGGAAAAAATAGTACTGGTATTACTTGACATGTTATACTGTACTTTAAGGTGACCTGTCTTAAACAGTAGATGCCATTTGGTTAGTGATAATCTACTACACTGAAGCAGTCTGCAATTTTATTTTCGCTTTTTAAAGAACTGAGTTGAAGAAAGTAAATTGCTTTTCCTGAGTTAGTATGAAATAATTTAATGAACTTTTCAAGTAGTTTTATAGCTGTATTCTTACTGAATGGTAAGTATCACAACATGGGATTTGTTAACGTGTGACATTCTATATTTATTTTCAGATGTCTTGTTGGAGTGAAAAAAACCTAAAGTTAAATAATTCTTGTTAGAAAGTTATCGTTTCCTTAGAAGGAGTAATTCAGAGAAAATTTTAGTTGTAGTGGTACAGTACCAGTATAATGAAAACACCGAATAGCATTCACTCAGCTCTGATGCTCTTTTTATTTCAGCTGCAGGTAAGTATTTTAATTCTCAAATTCTTGTAATTTTCAAGTTCTGTTTTCATACTGAAGGGAATATAATAACCTTTTTTTCTGAAATCAGTTTTGACATGAGGATGCCGTGGAAATCTTGCAAGAAATATGCAATGAATATATGGTTTAGAATGGATTAAGCAGTTACTAAATATGTATAGATTGGAAAACAGCGATTCCTCTATCTGAGGGGTTTTTTTTCTTGCCTTTCCTTTGTCCCCTAATTAAACATTTACAGATATTTCCAGGCTGCTGTTCTCTAGGCAATCACTATAATTACTACCACACTGGTAGAATTGTATAACTTCGGTCCAAAAGAAGAAGGGTGCAATTTAAAAGTAAAAGGGTATTATTGCAACAAGCTGTAAAAACTAAGAATGCTAATTAATAGATTATAGTTAGCTAACAGTGTGCCCTAATTAAACTCTGAATTCATTATGTCTTCTATAGCCTTTTGGAGTTGGTCACTTCAGCCCTTTATAAGGAAGATCAGTTTAATAGGATTTACTGTAATTAAACAGACTTCTCTGTTTAGACACTGAACAAGGGATTTTTCTGATCTGTTGGGGGACCAGGAAAATCTCTTCATTACCCCTCCAGCCTCCCTATAAAATGAGTTCCAGTATAATTGCAGGGACTGGTGTTATAGACCTCAATACAAGTATTTCAACACATTACTTGTATTAAAGACTTCTTGCACGTGCAGAACTTGTGTTTTATATTAAGTTTAGCCAAGGCCAAATGCATTGTTAAAAATGGACTCAACTCACAGAGCCAAGATGCTGTCTGACTCATGCCATTATCTGATAGTCATCTCAATCTCTTTGCTGTGGTCTTGGCTCTCTTTATTCCTCTACGTGCTCTTGATTGTCCCTGATTGTAGTTTTTTATTGCTGTTCTTGTCATCTCAACTTCGAATGATTGAATTACCTCTTGGTTTTGGAAGTTGTAGGTAGCAGGGATATATTGGATATAATACTGAGAATATAGTTGCATGCACATGACATAGCTCTCACTTGGGCTGCAAGTGCTTTAGTCTTGCTCAGTTGTGGTGTTTTTAGCAGTTACGGTGCAGCACAGTTGTATTCATCAGCTACTCTGAGCAAATACTACAGTTGTGGAGTGTAGCACATACTTTATTTTCATCCTTTGTTATTGATCTTGGTGAGCCAGAAAATCCTTTCTTTTCATAAATGGGGAATGTCATTGTCATCTCATTTTGAAAAGCTTAAAACTAAACATGGAAAGTATTCCTGTAGTTAACATAAGTTCTTGGAAAAAATACAATAGTTTGCAGTGCAATGTGGATTAGTTAACCAATTATACTTTGCGAGAAGCCAGAAGGAGAGTGCAAATGATTTCTCAAAGGTTAACAAACCCGTGCATATCCAAGGAGGAACTGATGGAGCCAAGAAGCAGGAGCTTGCTTTTGGCATGTTATCACACTCCTCAGTATGCTTTAGTAGGATCTGTATTTTTCTGAGTTGAAAAATATTTTTTTTTTTTTTTAGTGTGTGTGGTTTAAAATTTCCCTGGAAACCTCTTCATCAGAAGCCAGAAGAGGGAGAGAAAGACAGTGAATGTTTTTTGCACTTTGGTAGGAGTAATTTCCATAAAAATTGGACCATGGTGGTCTATATAGAACTCAAGAAAAAAGAAAATCCTCTCAATTGAAATTTGCTTATACCAAGTTGATTGTTCCTTAAAATAAGTAGTGCAATGCAAATTTGGTGTCTGACGCCCTGCATTGAAATTTCCCACATTTGACTGATCTACGTTTAAGATCTGATTTATGTTTCAACTGAAATAATGTGGTACTGCTGAAAACATCTTTTTACTTTGATGTATTTCTGTGGTCTTTTTGTGGTTAGAGGCTTTGGATGTCTAAGTGAGAGAGTTTAACCAAGAAAATGTTTCTGAAAGGAATTTCACCTTGCTTAGGGTAAGCACCTGAAGAACATTCTCCTTGATTGTGATGGAGAAGCGTGATGCGTGTACTTCAGCATTTCATCACTGTTCTTCCGAGTTAGAAGTACCATCCATTTCATAGTAGCATGGAATGAGCATCCCACTTTTTAAAATAGTTGTCTGTGTTTTAGCCTCTTAGATGCATTGGGTGCTGCTGTTGTGTGACTTGCTGAGCTTGTAACAAGTACATTCTTTCTCTGAAAATCGGATTAATTCTCACTTTTCCATTGATTTAATTTTTGGGAGTTTTTAATTTTATATATATATATATATATATATATATAAAGTTTTGATCTGTCTTAGTACGGTGTCATTCTAATGCTATTACCATTCCTGACTTGATTATTAGTTGCTAGAAAGATAAACCTTCTCCCATTATGGATGTCTAATTGTGCAATATTTGATTCCATAGTCATTGCTAAAAGGCATTATCTGTACCTCACTGCATTACACTTAAATAAATCTTTCAGTGACAGATGTCTGTCAGCTCTCTAGAATGTTTCCGGCTTTACAGTTCCCTCTGTCTTTCCCCACCATGAAATCATAACTTAATTCTCTTTTAGAATAACTCAGAACTATCTCTTCAAGAGTGCTCAATACCTGAGGCATTTATCAAGTTGCAGCACTTTGTAGTGACTTAAAAAATTGTCATGTAAGCCCAAGAGATGAGCCTTCCGTGTTCTGTCTTTTTGCAATTCTATAAGGAAATAAAATCAGACTTTTTGTGTTTATCTATGTTCTCCAGTGCTCCTTTTCTCCCATATTTCCTATTGAGGTAGAATCTAATACCTTGAGTTGCTTTGAACTGTAGCATAGGGTGAACAGCTGGTCTCTGCTTGATCCATTAAACATACAAGGGGAATACTACCAACTTAAAAGCAGCTTGTAATAAAACGGGTGACGTCAGTGGTACTGTTAAACTTAGTAGTTTAACTGTGCTTTTTGCTATTAAGCTGGGGGAGGGATTACCTTAAATTCTGCAGTACTTGAAATAGCAGGCTCTTTCTGCTATGTTTCTTTGTGTGCTATGTATTGAGACTGTTCAGATATTACACTCCTAACTAGGGTTGCAGTGTATTATTCCACCGCTTGGTATGTATATTCCTGAAGAGTATCGTCTATGTTACTATATTTTGCTAGAAGCCATTGTCTCTTTTGGCATTATTATAATTCGGGTGCTTGAGTTACTAATTTTTTCTTTTAAGTGTTCTTACTTTCTAAATTATAAACTACATATCTTGAAACTGTAACGCTCTAGTTTGGAGTAGGCTTCCTTTTAGTCACTCTGTGCACAGTTGAACAATGATAAATGATAGCAATAGCACAGCACAACATTATAGTTCATTTTAGCAGCGGTCTTGTACTGATTTTATAGCTTTCTAATACCAAATCCAGTATTCTTACGTGTCTTTCTTACTCTGT